GGTCTAGAAGGAGTTGCACCAGCTTCATCTGTAGAGCAGCCCTAGAGAAGGGGCACAGAGCAACACACCAGAGGCAGAGGTTTTGGGCCGCAGCGGCAGGCAGGTCCCCCCAGCAAGCAGTGACAGGCAAACACAAATGGCCATCACAAAAGTAAAGGAAATGCTGGGGAACTCCATTTGAGTTCAGCTGAGGAAGAAGCCCCAGGAACAAAAGAGGAGTGCTTGGGGGCGTTGGGATGAGCCCGGAGTCATGGCAAAAACAAGTGGATTAACAAAACAAAGACACAACATTCTTGCCTGTTCCTGCATGTCACTGTAGGGTTAGTTTTGTGTCGGCACAGAAGCGACTCGGTGGCTCAGGGCTTCCGCAAGCCTGATCAGGCTTGCCCTGAATGCTTTCTGGATGCATCACACATTCAGTATCCAAGTTACATTTGATCTGATTGGATTCGTTCCATTTTTGTACTACTCAATAGGCAAAGCTCTCTGGGTGGTTCGCAGCCATTTAGATTCCAGATTTCCACATGCTGGAACATGGCAATGGCTTCAGGGAAAGTCCATATTACTTTTGGGTCCCTTGAGTGGGAGAATCGGCCTTCAGCTGAGTCAGTCCAAGGGGCTGCCAAGCCAGGCTCTGTGCACACTCTCAGCTTGAGCTCCCACAGTTTGAGAGCTGGGTCTTTTCCCACCCCTGGCCTTCCCTTCGGTGGTTTTGGAATCACAGCCGCCAGCTGCATTCCAGATGTGTCGGGCTGCAACACCCAGCCTGCCTAGGCAGCCTCATTATCCTGCCTGGGAATGATCGGGGTGGATCTCCAACCCATCCTGAGGGTGGGTGGGTAGGGAAGACTGAGCCAGAATGTTGGACTCGAATGTGGGGCATGCAGAAATGGTAGGGAAAACAACATTATTGAGTTGGTGGGGCTTCCTGTCCACTTCAGCTTTTATTCTGAACTTCACAGGAGCTATCCATGGTGGCTAGCCCATTTTGGGGGTCCATGGAATTCAGCCCCATGGATAGGAAACCTTATAAAGCACAGAATAAAGGCTGCAGTGGATAAGGAACCCCTAATATGTGTCTTACCCCTGCCTTGACGGGATGGCAGCATGCAAATATAAATAAATGCTGGCGTTTAAACGTTCGGTTTCTGCAGGGAGCATGGGTGTTCCAGGGCTGAGCTGTGACCCACCCCCTTTCAAGATGTTCTGGCTGCAAGATAAGGAAATCTGGCAGCTGGCAAAGAATGAACACACTGAAACATGGTGCTGCAGATACTGCGTCACTGAAGAACGGAAGCTGTACCCCATCCTTTCCGATCTGCCAGGGCAGTTCAGTTGTTTCCACCCTACGCGGCCAGACTGTTCATCCCTGAATTACTGCAAGGGCGGGCTCTTGAAGGAAACTGTGTAGGCTAAAAATGCCGTGCACTTCAGAGGTGGCAAATGGCATTGCCTCCAGATTGCTGCAGAAAATGCTAACCCCTGCTATTTTGCAGGCGTGCTTCAGCCCTTACCTTCCAAGGTTGCCTGCTTGCGTGCAGAAGAGCGAACGGCGTGTGTCTCTCTTGTAGCTGCCAGTGGGAGGGCGCGCCCTGCAGGGGCTGCAGCTGAAAGGCGTGATTAGGGGTACCAGTTATTGAGCCTCCTGGGGGCATATTTACGTGGGCAAAGATGGGGGGGGGAGTCATAGCAGGAAAGGCTTGGAAGCACTCCCTCTCCTAAAGAAAGCCTTCGGAGGAAACCATGGGGAGCTGGCTTCTCTGGTACTGACTGATTGTTTTGGAGTTCTTTAATGAGGTTGAGAAGTATCCTGGAGGGATCAAACGGAAGCGGCCTCTTTCTTGGGTCCTGGGTGGAGAAGGACAGGCGACCTGTTCTGGCATTAGAGGCAGAGCACCGCTGAAGTCCCCCATGCAGTCCATGGGGATTTCAGATGCTGATCTGAACCCTAGAGCGCACCTGTGAATTAGCATAGCTGCTGGCTTGGGGAACCACCTCTGCCATGCTCTCCAAACCAATGGGAGCCTCCAAACCAATGAGCAGGAGTGAGCACGCTGGCTTCCGGATGCCCACACCCTCCCGCAGAGCTAAACTACGCAGGATCGAAGCTTACCCACTGCGATGTCCAAACCCAGAATTGTAGGTTGTTGCGGGAGGAACCACGCAGATTGCAACCCCCGTTCTGGACCTGTCACCCCGACTGGGTGCAGTGGGGGGACTGGTGGTCTTGACCAGCACACTTGCCTCTGCTCCATTTTCAACAGTCCACGGTTTGAGAAGCTGTGAGTGGTTGTGACGTTTGAGCCAGGTCGGGTTAGATGGAGCAAAGAGGAACTTCCTGCTGGGGAAGAGTCATTGTTCAATGGCAGTCCAAGTTGCTTTGCTTGGAGGAAGCCTGATCCTGCAGGTACTTTTCAGGCTGCCTGTTTATCAAGCTGCTGTGGCTTGATACCATTTGGACTATTGCTCTAATTTCAAGGAAACATTCTCTCCTAACTGCAGTCCCTTGGACACTGTGGTTAATATCTGGGGCCTCTGTGCACTCCAAAGGAAGGACAGTGAGTGGGCCTTCTCGGTGGTGTCCCTTCAACTCTGGAATGCTCTCCCCACTGAGGTGCACCTTATATCAGCCTTGTCATCCTTTCAGCCTCAGATTATGATGGCCCTCTACGCTAAGGCCATTAAAGATATGCAAAAAAAATTTCAGGGTTGGAAGGAATTGCCTATTCCAGGTATTTTTCCAATAGCATAGGTTGTTCAAGGTGGTTATCATTAGTTCTAAATGTTTGAAGTTTGGAAAGTTACGGTGTTTTATTCTATGTTCAGGAGTGTCTTTTCAAACAAGAGTTCCTAGGAGTTGTACTTTGCTGTGTCTCCCAGTTCAGGTTTGATCCTATGATGAATTAACTTAGGATGCAATCCTAGGCATGTTTAGAAAGAAGAAAGATCTACACTTCCCAGCATCCCCAGCTAGCATCCTGACTGACAGAAATGCCAGGAGCTGTACGAGCTTATCTGCCTAAATATGCCTAGAATTGCATCCTTAACCAGTTCAGAGAAGGAAAGTTTTGCACCCCTTTTCTCCCTTTCAGCCTCCTATGACCTCCCTCCATCAGAATGGAAAAAAACTGAAATAAAAGATTACCTTTTCCTGCTTTTATATTGAGATTATTCTGTGAGGCTCTGTTCTGGGTCCTTCCACCCTCTGAAATAGGTGACAAAAAAGCAGGGCGGATTTAGTCGTGGTTCCCTCCCTCTGTAATTTTATTTCCAGAGAGGTGTATCTGGCACCATCTATATTTTTCCCATGGTGCCACATGAAAACTCTTACTTATGCATGCCTGTGACTTGGTTTTTGTACGGCTTGGTGGCTCAGTATGTGACTTTCTAACCTGCCCTATTGGGTTTGCACTTCTTGTGGTTTTGTTATTCTATCATTCAGTGAATTTGTGGCTTTATTGTAACCTGCTAAGGCTGAAGGACAACCAATACGTATTCCGACGAGAATAAGAACTGAGCAGAAAAGTACCAAAACTGCTACGGTTACTCCTAATTCTTATAGTCTAGATGCAGGCGGTTTTGCATAAGAAAATGTGAATTGGGGTTTCGATCTTGGGCATGTTTAGACAGAAAAAGGTCTTGCAACTCTCAGCGTTAGTGGCGAACCTATGGGAAGTTCAGCAGCATGGACACCTGTAAAGCTCAAAACAGATGCTCCATTCCCTAGGAGCCTCCTGCTTCCCCTGCTCTAGGGCAGATTTCCGCCCAGACATGCCCACAAATGCACCTTAGGTTATTTATTTCATAGAGAAGGAAAAAAGACACACAACACAGTTGAGAGTGTTGGGAAAATTCCGATACATCCTGGCGGAAAAGGGTTGCTTATATGTCTTTGTGTTAAAAAATGCCTGCACCCCTTTCTCAGGAAGCACCCAAAAATTCCAGGCCAGGTTACTGTTTGGCATTTGCTGTTACTTCAAGAAGTGGGACCTGATGGCTTCCCCAAGAAGCTGCCAGGGCTGTTGTCTTGCTGATCAGTAAGAACTGGTCAGGCTGCCAGGTTAACAGCACGGCCATCACCTTCATTTGCATGCCAACCCTCCCAATAATCCCATGATCACTATGTTTTTTATTTTATTTAGAAAATTTTTATGCCGCCCCATTCGCCGAAGCCTCGGGGCGGCTCACAAAGCATCAATTAAAATATAATACACTAAAAATATCAAACGAATTAACAATATAAAATGAGTCGCCCTGGCCAAAGAATAAAATAAGCAAATAATATTAGCAATTAAAATGACGTTTGAATCAAAAGGTCTTCGCCTGGCGCCGAAAAACAAATAACGACGGTGCCAGGCGGACCTCTCTGGGGAGCGCATTCCATAGATTGGGCGCCACCGCTGAGAAAGCCCTCCTCCGAGTAGCCACCCTCCTAACTTCTTTCACGGAGGGCTCCCGGAGAAGGGCCTCTCCTGCAGATCTCAGGGGGCGGCCGTGCATATATGGACGTACGCGCTCCTTCAGGTAGCCAGGACCCAAGCCGTTTAGGGCTTTATAGGTCATCACCTATGTTAATATCCTGCAATCAGATGCCACGGTATTGAGTCCCCCCTGCAGACTTCCCCCTTCTTCTGACTGTGTTCCTCTCGTTTGGTCATCAACTGCCCAGCTGCTGGGCCCACATGACTCAGAAACTATAAAACACTCTGTATTTGTTCTAAAACCGTGTAGTTGGCAGTGGGAAGCATGCTGCTGTAAGTAACAGGAGGGGCCTGGGTGATCTCACCAATATAAACACTGGGTTCAAGGCGATTCACTGCGACTCCTGGTAATTCATTCTCACCGTTAGTGAAGGGGCTCCGGCAAAAGTCTACCTATTTTCCCATTCCACTGTGCTTTCCAAACCCTTCTCCTTAAAACATGGAGGGGGGGAACCAGCCCCCCAAAATGAAGCTGTGATGGAGTCGCCCAAACAAACTGGCCTTGTTTTCTGTTCCCAGGCAACCCCGTTCCAGCTGCCCTTGAAGAAATGCTCGGTGGTCGGAAATGGCGGCATTCTGAAGAAGAGCAACTGTGGCAGACAGATCGATCGGGCGGACTTTGTCATGCGGTGAGACAGCAGCCTAGCCGGGCACGGCCTTCCCCTTGCTTTGCGGTGTTGCCAACGTCCGTTGCTGCTTGGGTTGTTTGTGACTGATCGGCAGTGCCAAGTTTCCTTTATTTCATAGAGCGATTTATAGGATTAGGGAGGGAAGGTGTGTCAATCCAAGGGAAGCGGACAGGGCTCTGCTTTGCCTTGGATCCCTGCAAAGAACAACTTTGGACTCAGTTCTCAGGAAGGGAACGATAATTTCCTAGAATTTGAGGAGAGAAATGCTGCATTTAGCCCATTATCCCCCATGCTGGAAGTAAGACAGTGACCATGCGTGTGTGTGTGTGTGTGTGGTCAGTAGCGTTATCAAACTGCACCAAGAGCAGTGTGGTATAGTGGTTAGAGGGCTGGACAGGGACTCAGGAGATCCAGGTTCTGGTCCCCCCTTGGCCATGAAGGTCACAGCCCGTCACGGACTCTCAGCCTAATCTACTTCCCAGGGTTGGTGTGAGGATGAAGTGGAGAGGTGGAAGAAGAGGATTGCCTCAGCTGCCCTGGGTTCCTTGGATGAGGAAAAATGGCCAGGTATAAATGTAATGATGATGGATTACAGCCTTGCATGGATATTGGTGCGCAGGTCAGTCCCATGTATGCCTACTCAGAAGTAAGCCTATTAAAACTGATGCAAACCTAGCCACTGAGTTCCTTCTGCATTCTTGCTTCCATCTTGCCCTCTGCAGTCCTGCTTCAAGCTCTTTTTCCTTGTGTGTGTGGGAACAGAGAGAAAGAAAAGACCGTTTATAACATTTATTTTCCTTATATTCCACTCATTTATTTACTTTCTGTAATACAGAGCCCAGGTTGAGTAATAACCTATACAAAACACAGATCATCAAAAAATAAGCATTAAAATCACAACTCTAAAATCACAAATGTTCAACAAAAATCATCAATACAATCAACACAACCATCAGTGTGATCAATCAATCAACCATTTTTTAAATGGCTCTTCAACTAGTAGTTAAATGACAGCTGAATGGGGGACAGCTGAATCTCTACCTGAAGAAAGTTCCAGAGTTGGGAGGCCACCACTGAAAAGGCCCTGCTGTGTGTGGTAACCTCACAGGCCACATTCTTGAAGGAAACCACAAGCAGCATCACCCCAGCTGAACTTCAATCCCAGGATGGTCAGCACTGGGAGAAACTTTTTCTTTAGGTACCTGGGCCCTTACCCATTTAGGACTTCGCACACCTTGATTTGTGCTCAAGGTGTACAAAGTGGTGACTAATGCAGAGCTATCAGAATGGGTGGAGTGGCTTCTTCCTATAGCTGTAATGGCTGAATCCTGTTGACCCATGGAAGCCGCTTTCAGTGCCAACTGTTATCTTCTGGAGTGGAATTTAGAGGGCTGTGCAGAGACGGCCAAACCGGAGAGGAAATGGGGATCAGTTTTAACTGTTGAACTTAACTTCAACAATGGATGTCTGAAAAAAGGGGATGGAGAAACCGAGGAAAGGCTAACCATCTGCACAGAGTTGGCAGAAGGGGTGCGTTTGCATCTCGAAATGCCCTTGTGCAAGGAATGCTCAGAAACAGCTCCGTATTATGAATTTGAGAATGCAGAAGCCACTTTCAGCGTGCTGAAACCACTCATCCGTCACCCACTGGATTTCCCTTCCCAGATGCGCCTAGCAACAGAAACAATCGCACCACACATGCTTGTTTTAATCAGCCACCCGCCAGACCTGAATTTTTCAAGGAAGCATGGAAGAACAAATTCTTCTGGGATGAAGGCAAACCAGAGCAAGTCAGAAGGGGCCTCCTGGGCCATCTTGTCTGACCCCCGGCTCCAGCCAGCTCTGCCCACAACATGCCCACCATGTGCATGTCTAGCTTATCTTTCTGTAGGACTGTGCCATTGATTTGTGGTTTTGAATGACCTTTAAAAGATGTGGTCTTGAGATTGTTCCTTATAGCAGAGAGTTAATGAAATGAGTGGTGGGTCAGCAGCTAGTTTCAGGTGAAGACTTCCATCAGCAGAGAGATTCTGTACTTATTTTCCCTCAAAGGGCACTTTTTAATTTTTTTAATCCCTCCCCCCCATGCATAACAGCTGTGGCATAACTAATCCTTAGCTCAGAGGCAGAATCTTGCTTGAACCTCTAGGGAGATGCTCCAGTCACTCTCAGCAGTTTTGGGATAGGTGGGCTGCAGATCTAACTCAGAGCTGTCTTTCTGTATCCCCATTAGGCTGGGAGGTGCTGGCTGGGTCAGTCTGCATAAGAATGCACCGCTTTCTCAACTATCCCTGCTCAGAATTTTAAAGCATCTTTGACATCTCATGGCACGCTTGTCAACACCACAGGACTCCTGCCGCACAATGTATTTCCCTCTCCCCCCTCCTCCTCACTGGAACCCACTTTTTGCATGCTTCAGGGGTGGGCAACAGAGCACCCTCCTATGTTTGAACCACAACTCTCATAGACTTGAGCCAATAGTCAGGGATGATAGGTGTTCTCCAGTCTGATAGGTGTTCTCCAGTCTGAAGCACCTGGAGGACACAGACACCTATGCCTGGCCTAGTTTATCTTTTCTCCAAGGCACATGTTCCTCTTTGGTCAGTTCTTTCACAGGAAGCAAAGGATCCCAGTCCAAATGGGGGCGATATTTTCTGGAAACAGATTGTGTTCTTTGCATATTCAATATATTTATATCCCAATTTTCCCCTGGAGAGCTCAAGGCGGCCATGGATTAATAGTTTAAAATTGGTTCGCAGCAGCCTTCTTCAAACTGCTGACTCCCAGGTGTAAAAAGGTCTGCATCTCTCATCACGCCAGAAGGATGGAAGAATGCTATATTTGGATTGGGAAGGCTTCCTCTTCAAATGGTGTATTTATTTCATTTCTGTACCACCCAATAGCGAAGCTTTCTGGGCAGCCCGCAAAAATGCATATTGCAATGCAAGAAAATACAAATATAATCAAAAGCCTCTAACATATCCCCTTGAAAGTGATCTAGACAGCTGAAGCATTTGCAAGAAGAAGCTGGGCCTGAGAGAAGCAACGAGCAGAATTGCCCCATTGTATGTCATCAGATACCTGGAAGCAGAAAACCATCCTAACCTGCCACAAGGTGACCATGTTGACATCAGGCAGGCTGTGGGGCAGTATAGAAGCAGCAGCAATATTTTTCATTGCCTTGGTTCAGAACCCACTGCATTCTGACCTCTAGTCCTGTGCAACATAGGATAAAACTGTACACCTTGGGCCAGGTGAGATGGCATGACAGCTCACCATGGGTTATTTACTCACCCATGGTGAAGTCGCAGCATATGGAGCCGCTGATTTGCATATCTAACCCCCGCTTGGGGGATGCCATGCCATGCAACCTGGCAAGCATAGGTTGTGCGAGGATTAAACAACCCCCACAGAACCCTAGAAAAGCCTGTTTGAAATGGGGGGCCACCAATGGGAGGATGTCCCTTTCCAAGCCTCACACAAAGGAGACACTCAGCGGATGCTTCTGATGCCGATCCCAGGTCAACATTGTGCCAGGAGGAAAGCTCCCACTGGCATCGTTCCGATGTGCACATTCCCACTGCAATTCAGCTCAGGGGACATGCTGGTTGTTCAGATCCTTTTTGCAGTCCTAAGCAAGCTCCAGTTTAATCGCAGAAGAAAGGAAATTATGTCTAAGCTGCAGCAGGATGCAAACTACACAACATTTCCAAAGTACTGTTCAGAGTTTGCGTGAAACCAAGAGGAAAAGAAGTCGTTCTCCATAACCTAATATTTACATTTCTAGCATTTGTGGCTTGCAAGGCAGTTTCAAAGCAATAATGAATATTATTGAGTCAGCCCCAAATCATGTGTGACAACAAAAATATATAGCGCTTTAAAGCTTAAAGCAGTTTTAATTGCCCTTAAAGCAGGTGTAGGCCAAGTACTTAATGGCTTTTACATGGATGGGCAAATCTCTCAGTTTTGTTTTCTCCTGTGTTCGATGTTTTGACATCTCAATCTTTCCTTCCTTCCTGACTTAGAATATTTTTAATTTCCTCAATAACTAGCATCCTCTTTTGCTCTTGAACGTGCAGAACTTGACAGATGTGGGTAAATTCTTACCAAAGCTAAACTAAAAGGAATCTTACCTAGATGAGGGGAAGAATTTGCAAACACTGTACAAACACAGTGTACAGTATACACACACTGCTAGCACAAGGCCCTGAGTGGTTTGCCAAAGGACAGTCCAAAGGACAGAAAGCTCTACATTCCTAGTTTCAGCCAACTCTCAGTTGTGAAGAATTGGCCGCACTCTGTCGGGAGGAGGGTGCCGAGCTCCTTCTGCAAGCCGCCATTCCAAGTCTCCACTCCTTCCGCATCCTCCACTTTGCTTGGGCTGGCAACAGCTTCACGCTGCCATGGCAAGACCAGTTCAAAGGAAGAGAGGCCCTTCCTCCAGCAACATCCGGTAGAAACCCTAGACATGTCTGCGCACTTCAACGCCGGCTTCTCTGGGGCCGGGATCCTGGCTAAAATGACCTCCCCAGGAAGGCCCTGGTTTGATTTCAGTTGCTTGACTTTTCACCTGGAAGAAAGTCACCCACTCCCTTAGGAAAAGCATTGAGAGGAAGGAAAAGTCTTGAGATGTAGACTCACAGCAGTGAAACAGCTGCCTGGATTTCCAAGCGCAACAGTGCAATGATCCAGAAGCCTGCAGCTGCCACATTTCTGGTCGCTTGCCCCTTTTGCAGAGGACCTGCTCAAGAAGATGGCAGCAGCTGCAGGGGATGCAAATTCCATGGGAAAGGCAGGCAGGGTGAAGCCAGCTGAGAGCAGTGAACCATGGCAGGCCCTTGCCCACCCCATTATTATCCTTCATCCAAGCCTCATGCAACACAAAAGAAACGCAGGAGAAAACAATCCAGACACAAAGCGTCTCCAAAGCACAGCGCCAAGCCTGCAATTAAAACAGTAAATGCAATAAAAATAGCATAATCAATAAAGCAGCTGTGGCATCTGAATGAAACTTTCGCTGCCAGAACGCATTCCACCAGGTTGTTTCAAGGGAGGTGAGGAAGGGAAGCAAGACCATTCTACCAGGCCTGTGGAAAGACTCGATTTTAACTCTTCCCGTTCCTTTTTTCCTTGCACGCGATTCATCTTTAGATAACTCTTCAGTCAAGGATTGTCCTCTTTACTGATTCTGTGCAAGCAGCTCCCTGGGAACCTTTTTGACTGCGGTATGGGACGAAAATAGTTAAAATAAATGAAAGCCTCATTCCGGAAATCATAAAAATTATGAAGCTGCCATGTAAACGAGGGTTTCCAAAGGCCATTTAAATGTGGGAGGAGAAGGAAGCTGATGGGGTGGCTGCCAGCTTTATGCCTCTTAGAATGGCCAGCTGGAATGCAGCCAGAAGGAGCTGGTATTTTCCTGACCAGCTGGAATGGAAACGGCTCCAGAGGGGAGGATCCCAAAACATCTGGTCACAGCTGAGCCAGTGGAGATGTGCCCTTCCTGTTTCTCTCTCTGCCTTATGGAATTGGATTCGATTGATCCCCCTGCTTGTGGGTGGAGATTGACTTCCACAAATACCAGTATAGAAAGCCCAGATTTAAAGTGTGGATTTTTTTTCCTCATTCAGTTGAGCAGCATGATAAAAGGGGAAGGACAGTTCAACGATGCACCAGGGAAAACAGATGGTGCCGTTGCAGTGCCAAAGCTCCGGCTTTGTAAGCAGCTTCTTTCAAGCAAATACAGAATTGCACTCGGAAAGACCTGACGCCACAAGATCAGAAGAGTGGTGCTGATTTGGTCCATCCTGTCCAGAACAGCGTTCTCACAGTAGCCACCCGACTGCCCAGGGAAACCTAGAAGCCCAGCATGCCAGTTGGGGAATTATGCCAGTTGTAGGACATTCTTTCAGTGTGATCGTGCCTTGTTGTTGTTGTTGTTGCTAGTCGCGAAGTCATGTCTGACCCATTGCGACCCCATGGACCACATTCCTCCAGGCCTCCTTGTCCTCCACCATCCCCTGGAGTCCACCTAAGCTCACACCAACTGCGTCAGTGGCCCCATCCAGCCACCTCATCCTCTGCCGTCCCCTTCTCCTTTTGCCATCTATTGTTCCCAGCATTAGGCTCTTCTCCAGGGAGTCCTTCCTTCTCATTAGGTGGCCAAAGTATTTGAGCTTCACCTTCAGCATCTGACCTTCTAAAGAGCAGTCAGGGTTGATCTCCTCTAGGACTGACCGGTTTGATCGCCTTGTGGTCCAAGGGACTCGCAGGATTCTCCTCCAGCGCCACAATTCAAAGGCCTCAATCCTTTGGCGCTCAGCCTTCCCTTATGGTCCAGATTTCACAGCCATACATTGCAACGGGGAAAACCATATACACACTTTTGTTGGCAGGGTGATGTCTCTGCTTTTTCGTATGGGATTGTCAACACGAGCATTAACAACCTCACAGAGGTTTGCATAACACCTGTGCCTTTCCAGCAACAGGCAAAGCCCTTTTTATCCTCCCAAGGATGTTAGCATTTTTTTGATACCTGATTTTATTCTGCCACTGGTTTTAATTGGGTTTTGTGTGCTGAGATGCTTACACATTTTATTTGGGCTTTCTGTTGTGTTAGTTGCAGTTCGTATTTTCTGCCTTGAAGGACTGGACACCACCCAAAGAACTTCAGTTTTTGAGAAGTTTACCCATGTGGCAAAAAAGGAGGCATGCAGGTCCTGATTCAGATTAGGACCACCATGCACAGATAGGAATGACTGACATACTTTCTGCCAGTTAAGGTCCCCCCCCTCCCATTCCTTTTTTAAGCTACTGCTTCCATGCGGGGAGTTAGTGGAGGAGATGCCTAGAAGGAAAGATAAAATGTGCAGTGGTCCTTATTTAGATTGGGTGCCCATGAGTTTTAAAAAGCAGCATCTGCCATAGGCTATGCATTTATAGGTGACCTATAAATATAAATATTAATTAATTGATTGATTTTAATGTAACCTGCACTTTAGTCCAGCCACCCCATGTACTTGCCAATCTTTGGTGCGGGACACTGGACTGAGCATCCAGATCGTGCTGGGAAGCTTTCTTTGATTTGTAAATGATGCAAAGGAAAGATAAACTCAAAGGAATAAAGTGGAAGTTGAAGTAACTTCTGTGCTTTGTTTCTTTCAGCTGCAACCTTCCTCCTCTCACCAGCGAATACAGCAGAGACGTTGGGTCCAAAACTCAACTGGTGACTGCAAATCCTAGCATTATCAAGAAAAGGTAGGAGGCAGACCCGTTTCTTCTGAAAGGGGCTGAGCTGGTTAGCAAAGGTAAATTTGCGGGTCTTTATGGACATGTTGAGAGGTGAAAAGTTATATCTGTACCAGGCGGTCCTGGAAGTGCAGAACAGACTGAATTCAACAGGAGTTTCTAATTTGATAGTTTGCGGAAGCTGCTGTGTCTGCAAACCTGAAAGGGTTGGTAGAAAACTGTTGCAGAAAAGAGCTGACATTTACGTCAGGGGAGCCTTCCCCTCTCTGGTGCTTCTGCATGTTTTGGATGGTGATTTCTAAGATCCCCACCATTGGCCATACTAGTTGGGGCTAATGGGAGTTGAAATCAAAGTTGCCTGGAATGCATTGTATTGAAGATGACGGACACAGGGGTATAGGAGCCACGGTGGTACAGAAGCTGCAATCCTGCTAGGGTGCAGAGCAAGTATCAAATGTTATATTAAGCCCAGAATCCAGTTTGTTCCTAACCTCAGGCTTTTTATTTTTGTTTTTTTAAAAGCAAGTTTCTAGTCCTTATGACTATGAAGATAGACTTGCTAGTGTGTGATATTTCAGAAGGCATAAAGTGGCTAAAGAAGGTAATCATAAAGTGATCCTGCAACTTGAGGCTCTGTGGAGGGAGTTCTTTTGCTCTTCCCAATAAGTAGCAGAGCCAAAAGCAAAACAAAGCCAAAAACATAAAATAATCCACACACATTTTTGTATTTATTGGCAACAAGAATGCTGTTGTACCAAAAGAATGTTGAAGTTGCATTAGTTCAGCAATGAGATTTAAAATGCTCGTCCTCAGTTAAAAATGTAATGCATACGCATTCGTGATAAATATAAGAATTGAGAGAAGCTGTCAGTGGCTTTTTGCTTTGAATTAGAAATCAAAACCAGGCTCAATTTTATGATGAAAATGCAATATGGGGAGTATAACTTTTAGTATGACTTTAGAAGAGGGTTAGATACATTGCCTGCTTCCATAATTTATTGCCTGTTGATACTGGATTTAAAATTCAATTTATAATTTATAACTGAACTAAAATTGTATTTTATATTATCTAAAATCGGTTTGATCTCAGTTATACAGCAGGGGCAGGCAAGGCAAAGTATCCAGATGTTGTTGGACTTCAGGGTCCATCATCCCCCACCATTGGCCATGCTGGCTAGAGCAGATGGGAACTGCAGTCCAACAACAGTTTGAGGGCCACACATTCCCCACGCCTCAACAGGTGCTGAATCTGTTGGCTTGACAAAAAATTATGTCCTCCTGCAAGATCAGGCTTGTTTTAAGGAACTGATATCTGAAGATTATTTAAAGGGTCTTTCAATAAGTTTTACAAATAAGTGGCTGATCAGAAAACTCAAATCATCAAAAATGAGAACTTGGTTTTAGAAGAGAGGTTCTGAGAAATCTGGATTTGGATTTGGGCAAATATCCTTACCTTGCACAAGTACTTTAAACAAAGTGTTAACAAACTGCTGTTTAGCTGGCACTTGACATTCAAGTTAAATCAGATGTACAGAAATGCAAATAAGCAGTGCTGGAGTTGTGGGCAAGCCACAATTTATATTGTATATTTATAGGTCATTCTCAAATATTTTCCCTCTGAATATCCCACTTAGAAGAAGTAAAAATATGCAATCTCATTGGATTCCATAAATTTGTTACATAAAAGATTAATCCCACAGGAAGATACGGAGGCAATAATTCACCTCTGAACGGCAGCCCAGATGCTCATAAATCCAAGAGAGAGAAAAACCATCCTCAATCTTTACATCAGTGTTTTGCCAGAAACTGGGGCATGATTTATCAGTCTAAACTCACATGTATAACTGAGTCTTCTTGATTGCTAGATCTTGTGTAAATTAATTGGTAATATAAGCACCAGCCATTAAAAGATAACAGATTAATTTAGTAATTTCTCTTGGTTTTATGTGCAACAGTTGGATTACTTTGTAATAATTCTGCAGTATCTGAGTGCTAATTTAAATTATGTTGCTCTAGCATTGGGAACATCTGGTTCAGTGCCAGGAACATCAGCTGGCACAATAGGATTCCAGGGAAATACCTTGTACTCACTAACCCTTTTCCCATCCGGCTAGAGGCCCTTTACACTACTGCTGTGAAATTTATGTTAGCGCTAGTGCTGACATCATCACCGCCCATTCAGTGTGGTCACTTCCTTCTTCTGATTATTACAGTGATACCTTGGCTCACGAACTTAATCCGTTCCACGACTTGGTTGTGACCCAAACTGGTTGTGACCCAAGTCAAATTTCCCCACAAGGTTCAATGGAAATAAGGTTAATCCGTTCTGTAACTATTTTTTTTAATCAGAAAAATTTGAAACGAGTGACAAAGAACAACCAAGTGACAAAGTGCTGTACAGGGCAGTGGAGAACACTAACCTGGGTGGCGGGGGGGGGATTATTGTTTCGAGGGAGAGCCCCCCTCCATAAGGACATTGGGGAGATCTCCTTCAGGGGATTCCTCTCTTCTTTGTCTCTTAGCTGCAGGGTCAATTCTGGTGAAAAATCTGCCTATAGTCACTTGTTTTTTCCTGCGCTGCATGACCCTCCGGAAATGAGAGACCACGGTATCGTTCGTCAGATTCAACACTCTGTTCGTTACAGTTACTTTGGGGTGGTGCTTCTCACAGAAATCCTGGCACGGGTGCGCTCCTGCAGGAATGACGGGCGCAATCTCGGACATCTCCCCCCCATCCACAACTAGCATGATCGTGGCCACCCCCCCACCCGCCAACCAGCACGATCGCGGCCATCTCCGCCCTCCCCCCCCCAAGTGGGGAGATGGCCACGATTGCAGTTGCGTCGTGCAGGGAAGACGTGCGTGAGACGCTCCTGCAGGCCAGACAGGGGCAGCACAGCCCCGATCGAATGCCTCTGTGATCGTGGCCATCTCCCCACTCGGGGTGGGCAGGGGGAGACGGCCACGATCTTGGTCGCCACCCAATGCAGAGTTCGCGACCCAAGTCAAAATTTCCATGGAATTTTTGTTCCTGATCCAATTTGGTCGTGAACTGAGGTGTTTGTGAGCCGAGGTGCCACTGTACTTCTTCGTTAACCATCTCTGGGATCTAATGAAGAAATGTCACGTTAATTTTCAATTCTGGCTTATTTCCCTGAGGATCGCCTGTCAGTTGTTGTGAACTTCACTGGGATGTCAGCAAAAGGGTAAAAACTGAAAAGCCGACTAAGGAGCAGGGATCACGGAAGTGTGTGCAATTTCACCACAGAGCAGGGAGGCCGATGCTTTGCTTGCAGAAGCCCAGTGTCCTGAGTGATCTAGACCACAGGTGCCTGGGGCCATCATGGTTGGCATTCTGGAAAAGGAGACACCGTTGGAGGCTCAGAGAAGGGAGATTTGGAAACTCAGAGAAGACGGGGGTGGGTGGGTGGGGGGGAGCTGTTACCTTGCTGGGTCCCTGACTCCACAACCTCAGGAGAGAGGAGTGCTGCAGAAGTTTCGCCTGCTGGCCCTTCACCAGCAGGAGCCACCCCGAGGCTTAGGCGGAAGTTCCCAGGGTTCAGCACTCCTTACAGAAGCAGAGGCTTCTCTTTCAGCTTACTGGAGGGTTTTCATGGCCTGTAGCTGTGAAGTGCTAATAAACGATCTACATTGTCTGGTGTTTCAGAGCCCAAGAGCAAGAAGGGAGAGGCCAGACTCAGACAGCTAGTATTTGACATCTCCTGGTAGGGCTGGAGAAACTCCCGTGTGAAACTTGTCAGCGCCTGCCCTGCTGGTTAGCCCTGAGCCATTGTCTGGATCAATGTCATGCTGGTTCCCGGCCAAGCAGTCCTGCAGCCTCTGGACAGCAGCGGCAGGGCAGACGCTTTTCAGATTCTCAAATTCCAGGTTAGAAAAGTGCCCTGAACGCCGAATGGGGAACCTACGCTTGGATTCCCCCCCCACCCCGCGCTCCCCGGTGGCTGGCATTATGGGAATGGTGCTCACTGTGCTTCTGAGATTGTCAGAGTGACCTTGGAGAAGGGGCTTGGTGGTGTTTTACGGGGAGGGGAAGGGAAGAAAGTGCCACCTCGGCAGTGCCCCCGCTAGCCTCAGGTCCAGCCCTGTTGGGATCTGTCCCTCTGAGCCATTGCAGGCTTCTTCTCACACTCAGCCTGGTCTTCCAAAGTGAGCCGAGCAGAGAGGAAGTGAATCCTTTTGGAGCCGGTTGCACAGCCAGCAGCCTCTTCACAGCCACCCCAGAAGCAGTTGCAGCTGGCACAAAGAGGGGCACTGCGTGGGCGGTGGTTTGGGGTGGGGCTGACTTCCTGTCTCGCCCCTGGCCACCAGGGGCCTTGTGACCAGCCTTCTCGGTGCTGGGGGCAGCCGCTGTTTGAGCAGTTCTTCCTTGTGTGTGAGAGCTGTTGGTTGCACCTTGTGTGGAGCTTGGTTCCTTGTGCATGTCCCGGAAATTCTGGGAGTGCTTCCAGAAACTTGGACACTGGCCTTCCACAAGCACACCAGAGTCCTGGAGCTGAGCTGGACAGATCCCTCACATCTTCCCACCTTCCTTCCCCTTCTGATTTGCTGCAATTAGATGGTCGGAATTATCTCTCTAGCTGCTTAGTTAGATAGTTCGCTATCTCTAAATAGGAGAATTATTTTGCAGAGGGGACCTTCAGCTCCACACCCTTCTTACTCTGCAGAGGATGCTTGTAATCTTCAAGTTCAGAGGGCTACAGGCATCTGCCTGGATCTCCTTCTAGCACACTGTCAGAACCTGGAGTCATCCAGTGGCACTGGCTGGCAAGACATCCAAGATGGTTGGAAAGACTTCTTCATGCAGCTTCTAGTTGAACTATGGAATCACCTGTGCCATGATGTGATGATGAGAGATGGATGGACTTCTTCATCAAGGGAGCTGCAGCCTTGAATTCGGAACTCCTAAGCAGGGGTATCATGGATGGGACATCCTGGAGTGCTTTCATTCATAGGGTTGCCCTAAGTTGGAGATGATGTGATGGCTACCA